AACAGCGGCTCATTCCTCCTTACAGTCCTCGCTGAGGAGGAGTTTGCCTTCTCTTTGTGCTTTCTGCCTTCCTCTTCCTTTGCCCTCCACTGTCACAGCAGCAATCTCTCCTGCTTTCCTCTCCCAAGAGAAGGTTGGGGAGCCTGGGTGGCCCAAATCTCATCTTCTCAGCAAACCTCCAAGAAATCTTTGCTCTGGCCAGGGATGTTCTCCCAGATTTGTTGCCTTCCTCACTGGGCTCTTATAACCTGCAGCTCAGGGGCTTCCTAAACAAGAAGACACATTTCTCTTGTATTTAATAGCCCCAGGAGTTGTCTTCCTTGGGTTTGTCCAAATGCTTTTCAAGCCATGCAAACCAAAACCCAGAGGGTACTGGGGCAAGCAGTTCCCCATGTTAACAGCACCTCGTATGAGGAATTGCTCCGTGTTGTTTTGAAAGTTCATCAGGCTAGCTTCAGCTGATGCCCCTTCATTCCTCTAGGACAGGAGCCAGGGAAGGGATGCTCCCTGCTTGTGCTCTCTGTACCACTTCCAATTGCACAGGCCTCCACCACAGAATATTAAAAAATATCAAAAACTATTCCGCAAATCCCCAGCTGAAGAACTCAGCGCTCCTCAGGCAGGCTGCATTGATTTCTGCCAGCTGGGATCCCAGCCCTCGATCCTTACTAAAAACACCAGATGACCTCCAAAGGCTAGGTGAGCTTTGTGAAAACACTTTGTGTAGCGAAGGTCACCGTGTGTCTCAGGCATTTTCTATTCCTGCTACACATACACTACTGCAGATTTCAGCTCAAAAAAATATATATATATTAAAAAAAAAAAAAAATGCAAGACAAAGCAGGCACGAATCCACTGACCAGCAGTGTGTAGCAAAGAAATTTGTTCCGTGGCATTCAAGGGATGTTTTGAATGAGGTGATCAGGGCAGCTCAGGCTTAATACAGCTTTACATCATTAACAGTTAATGTGGAGCCAGAAGAGTGGAGTAAGCTGTACTTACTGCTAGTCACATCGTCTGCGGTGGCCAAGGAGAAAATAATCACTCCAGGCAAGCGGAGATTAAAGTGAGGTGACAGTGTCTGGGTGCTCATTTTCCTAAAAGTTGTAGATTTACTTGGCAGTGCTCGTAGCCTGTTTATTCACTAGTACTCACAAGAGGAAGGATAATCATTTTCTGTCGCCAACCAGCTTACAGCAAGCCATCTCACATCCCTCGTGTCAGCCCGGGTGACTGTGGGCACACGAAGCATCAGGCACACAACAGGACAGGACTGTCCTTCCACTTCAGAGGTGGCACCAGCAAGTCCGGGACACGGAGGATCACTTCCCACCAGAGGCATGATGCCCCATTCTTTCTGCAACCAAAGCAAAACAAGAATGAGCCACTACAGAGGCACAAAGCAAGGAGGAGGCAGTGTTGCAGCTCCCTCCCCATGCCCTAAGCATGCTGGATGTGCAGCCACAAGCACGGAGACCCTCACCCAGAGCAGCTCAGGGGGGTGTTTGTAAGAAAAGGTCTCTCCATGAGCCTCTCCTGAAGCACTGCTGCTAATGCAAACCTGCACCTAGGTGAGGTGACCGGGCCCAGAGGCATGAGGGTAGGAATAGCAGATGCTGCATTAGCGATGCTGCAGCTTGCCTTTGTTCTCCAGGGTGAAATGGCGAGGCCAGATTCTGCCCTCGTCATGCCCCAGTCCTACAGCAGAGAAAACTCAAGCCCCTGTGGCTGCCGTCTTGTGTGAGATAAACAAACCAAGGGCTGCTGCCCCTGCCACTGGCTGCTTTGCCATGCAGATACCTGTACTGCTGGAGAGCAGGTACCCCCTGGGTGCCAGGCTGGAGGCAATTTACAGTGCTGGCAACAGATGGGGGGTCCCTAACCCACAGGTGAAACCTGACATGCTTTTTGATTCAAACCTGAGCGTGGCAGGTTTTTGTGCTAACAGATGACAGCCACACACTTGAACAACTGCCACCCCTCTTCTCACAGCAGTCCTTACTGAGGACACAAAAATGAAGCCCAAAGAGCCCACAGCCTGCTGACAGTGCCTCTGCTCCTCCCAAACCACCAGGGGACCTGACCTCCATGGGGACTGGCTGCACGCTGTCTTACTGTCTGTGGTCAAGCAATATTTGTGTCAGAAGACACATTTGGAAGGGGAAACTGCCCTTCTGCTGCATCTGCCAGAAAACTACACGAAGCTGTATACATATATAATATATAATGATTATATGGTATATGGTATAATTCACACTGACATAATTTTAATTTCAAACACATGGCACTGCCTCAAAACATCTTACAGGTGAGATATCCAGCAGTAGGACACTGGTTTGTGTCCACACTTTTGTGATGGTTGTTGGCTCTCCAGCTCCCCGGTAGGTGATCTGGAGATATAACACACCGCTGGGCCACAAAGTGCTGCTATGCCTTTCACATTCAATGCAGCTCCTTTCTCTGAGAAGATTTGTACTGGGCCTCTGTGCTGCTGCATGTGAGAGCCCTTGTTGCTCTGACAGACCTCCTGATGGCCACCGCTGCTCAGAAGAGCCTGTTCCACTGAGCATCCCGAAACTTAACCATCCAAGAACATTCTCCTCACGCGGGTCTCTCCTTCCCTTTCCAGGGACTTGATCCTATCAGGGACACAGCGGATGCCACAGGTACTGGGAAGGCCACAGTGCTCCACCCCACCTCCACCTGTTTCTACCTTTGGGTCCCACACGTGTTCCCTATCAGGCATTGGCACCACGACAGAAAGCTCCCGCCCGGTGTTACTGCCCCTACTGTTTCACATCGCCCCCCATGAGGGTGCTTCACATCCTGCGCTGGCTGTCAGGGTGCCAGTGGCCGCTCGCTGCATGTCCTTCCTGCTGGGACGCGGCAGCGAAGGCACGCAGGCAGAAAGGCAGAGAGAGGCATTTGGAGAGCTGGAGCGGCACCAAGGGAGCGAGGAATAGCAGGCGAGGAGAGCTCTTCAAAGAGGAACATCAAAGCGTCGGAGACGGGGAGCGAGCTGCGAATGACAGATCTGGTTTAAAGAGCCATCTATCTCCCAGCTCCTGCTATGTAAATTACCGCTGCTTGCTGGCTGCTGCCAATGCAGAGGTAATTGCTAATATTTTTCGGAAGCATCTCCTCCAGGCCAAGGCATCAGGCCTTCTGCCCACCTCCCACAGGGGTGTCAGTGGCAGAGATGTCCCCTGCCACACGAGAGCTGTGCTGCTCCTCCTCGGGATGGGGCAACTGCACCGATAAGGGCGAGGGGCTGGGACCTCCTCCTGCACAGCTCAGCCTCTTTAGTTGTCCCCTGCTCCATCTGCCCTCCCCATCCTCCAAGTCTCTCCACAGGCTTCTCACCACGCTGTTATCTTCGATCCTCCCAGCCCATCTGCTTGCTTTATCCTACCCTCTCCTTCCCAGCCTTCTCCATTCCACTCCCTTGTTCCCCCTCACTGTTTCCCATTCCGGGGAGGAATAAACACAGCTATGGGTTAGAGGAGAAAAGCAAATGTATTTCTGGGGAGGGATGGAGGGTGGGAGATAGAAGGTCACTTGTCTATGTGAGTCTTCACCCAGGGATATGGCTTACCCCAACCCCCATGGAAAGCACGAGTGTGCACACACCACCTTCCCAAGGGTTAAGATACAACACAATTTCTTTCCTAGCTTCATCTGTCTCAGTGGAGGAAATGAGATCCCAAAATTCACCTTATGGGCTGAATATGAGCATGAGAAATTTCAGCCCAAAGGGTCAATTTTCCAGAAATATCTAAGTACCCAGGAACCGGGGCTCGAAATGAAAGTGTCTCTTGAGCCATCCCTTTCCTTCACCACTCTGGTGTGATAATAAGGTGCTTTTTATGTAAGTGACCTATTTTCCAGGGAAGCCAGTTCTCTGAGTGGGGAATTGGAAAATGACTGGTGCAGCGGTTTCTTACTTTAATATGTTTTCATTCTCCACGAGCAACAAGCAGCTACTGTACCCAGAGGACTGAGGAGCTGTCTGCTCTCATCAGGGATGCTCCCTGGTGCCCAGCGCAGCCAGGACGCCGGAGGAGAACCTACTGCATGTACTGTGCATGGGGGCTCGTAGGAGGAGCCTTCCCCTCGTACTCACGGGCAAAAAAGTAAAATGTGGGGGAAAAGGGGGCTGTGAAAGGGAGGGAGGTACGGACACCCCTGTAAGACCCTGAGCACCAGTGGCTGGAAAGACAGTGCCCACCTGGGGACAGGTTGGTGTGCTTCAAGTCTGGGGTCAGCCCTGAGCATGGTTTTAAGGGATTGCTTTCTCAGCTCAAGGAGAGTGACTCAAACCTCAAGAATCAAAACCTGCTCACAGCCCTCATCCCCCAGCAGTCCTGTGTGAAGCTAGGGCCACGGCACAGCAGAAACCAGCCCTCCCCTATCCCATCTCCCGGCCAAGCTGTGCAGTTACCTGTGAACCAGCTGGGAGGCCCAACAGGGGGATGCTCATGGGGAAGATGAAGCCAAGCTTCCTAGACACAAGGTGTTGGGTCCATCCCACAGCTGCTGGCAAGGAAGGGAAATGCAGGGAGGAGGGAACACCACCACGTTTTGGGGTACAATGTTCTGCTGAGACCAGGCGTGGCTCTCCTTTGCTGGCTGGCTGGCGCAAGCCCTGCAGGTCTGTGTCCATGTCCTGCAGCCTGGCAGAGAGCAGCAGGAGGCACAGCACCCGCAGTGGGGCAGGGGGACAGGACTCAACCTCATCCAGCAGTGAAACAGCCGCAGGGCAGCCCCGCAGCACAGAGGAGCTCCCTTGGTATTCAGGCACGCAGCGGCACACTGCTTACACCCTCCTCATGTTTGAAGGGTTCCTCCTCTGCTAAAAAACTCACATTTTTAAAAATTAAAAGCTGTGATTGTGGCAAGAGAGATGTATTCACCAGGGACCAGTTTCAGCTCACCACGCTGCTGTGAATCAGTAGACCCCTTTGCCCCAAGGCATCAAGAGAGATTAAAAACCATTAGTACACTAGAAAGACAACAGCAGTTTAATCAAAACATCTTGGGAGCAGCTTATGAATACTGTTAGCAGGCAATATTTTCTTGCGTGTTTGTCTCTCATTAAGAAGGGCCTATCTTAAGCGGCTTCCTTTCGAGTTTTTGCTCTCTCAGACCTGAATTTGGTCCGAGTGCTGGGCTGGCCAGCTGCTCACCCCCTCCTGCATCCGCCGCTGCAGCTCCATTCCTGACTGTTCGCCAGGATGCTGATTGCGGCCTCTTTGGTTTACTGCTTTCCTTTCCCTGGTATTTGCAATTCTAAACAAGCTGAATATTTATTACCAGCTCCTCATTTTACACCAAGGACTGAGCTCTGCCCAGCACGCACATCCAGACATGTTTCTGGGGTAAAGGGGCACCCTCCTCCCCCTGCCTCGGTCCCGCAGGCACCCCTGGGGACCACAGGGGCCAGCGATGCTCCCGCTGGTTGTGCGGTGGGGAAAAGGCATTGCTCCAAAAGAGACGGCATTACCCAGGGGGCTGATGGAGGCTATTGCTGGAGAGAAAGGCGCTTTGTTTCCAGCAGGCTGTGCTAGGAGCTCTGCCTTTGCTTGCCAGCCAAACCCATCCTGCTGGCTGAGCTGATACCACCTGGCAGCACCGTGCACGGGCTGGCAAACCCAAGCTGGGACGATCTGAGAAGGAAAGAGGAGGCTGACGGGACCAGGGAAGTCTTCCCAAGGGAACAAGGCTTGGAACCACTAACCACTGGGCTGTTGCCCCTGTTGTCCGCTGCACGTGGCTGCCAAAAACAGCCCTGCTCTTTGGTGCAGTAATGCATGGAGAAGACTGGGCGGCCAAAAAGGAAGGTGCCGCCGAGCAGCATCCAGCAGGGTGTTCACCCTCACACTGAGCAGTCACTGGTGGGAGCCCATCGGCTGCATTTGCTCTCTCCCTCCCCAACAATAAATGGATGACCAAGCTTCCTCCTAAATCTCCAAAGGAAATGAAATAGCATTCGGGGTGAAGCTGATGAAAATGGAGCAGCATGTTCCCCTCTTCCATCATTTTCCTGACAAAATTGCTGCTATTTTCACAACACTAGGCTAATATACACCGTCTAGCATTCATCCAATCTTTTTTTTAAATAACCCAATCGTGGAGAAGCTTCCATCAGTTCCCCAGGATGCTGTTTTACAGCCCAGGTCTCACCATGAGAAAACTCTCCTGGTCTTCAGCCTGCGTTTTATTACGCTTTATTTCATTGCTCTAGTTAGTCCACTCGCCAGACCTCCGGCACGCCGTCAGGGGGCTGTGCAGTTACAGCGCCTTGACATGCCACTGCGTGCCTCCCGTGAAATATAGGGCTGAAATTTAATCTACACGCCTGTAGCCTAAAGCTATTAAGGCTGGGCTGTCGATTTATAACAACACACTTCCCCTCCTTGTCGCCGGCCCAAGGATTTGGTGGCTGTACCTGCATTGCCATGACCCCAGGACCAGCCTCTGGGGCTCGCCCGCACCTTCTGCTGCCCCGTGCTGGCTGGCTCTGAGACACACGCAGAGAGCTGAGGATGGAGGTTCCTCCACCTTTATAGCTGGATCCAAGCTGCATATCTCCGTCCTTCTTAGTCACAAGTCCATGAGAGGATGGAGGATTGTGCGATAGACACAGATGGTGTGCATTGGAGCACCCAGCAAATGGTGAACAGAGAAGGAAACCACTCCTCTGGCTCTGCTCTCAGAGGACATGCTGTGGATACGAACGGCAGAGTGTCTCCTGCCACATGCCAGGGCAACCTGCTCTGACCATCTGAGCCCCAACTGCCCTTTCCAGGACCTGGCATGCTGTATGGTGGGAGACACTGATCACTGCATAGGAAACCAGAGTTGTGATATTTGTCTCGTTATAACGCTCCGACCCCTTCATCAGATCCCAGTCTAGCAGAAGATGGGGCAAGCTCCCTTTGCACCAGGTTATGTTTTTCCCTCTCCCAAGGAGCCATGCAACAGGCAGAAATTCAGCCATCCTGAACTCCAGCATCCCGGGGCTGCGGGTGGGGTGCAGGTTACACCAGGGCTCCAAAGGCAGAGCACGCCCCAGCCCTGCCCGTGGGTCCCAGGCCCGTCCTGCGGCATAGCACGGGCTTTGCGGAGGAGCCCCAGCTGCTTACAAAACCACCAGTGGCTTCAGAGGCCTGGGTTAGCTACCCACAGCACAAAGCATCCCATCGGTGAGAATTAAGGGCGGCGTGGGGGATTTCCAGCCTCGTGCAAGAACCCAGCCCCTCGGAGGCACTGCCTGCGATCCGCAGATCCACGCGCGTGGCTGCAGCTCGGGTGCTGCTGGGGCGGCTCCACCCTGCAGCCCTCTTCCCTTAATGAGCAAAGCCTTCTGCACATTTCATGGATTCGCCACATGTAAACAAGTAGGTCATTCCAGTAATCTCTTCAGCTGGGTATTAAAAGGCTTGTCCAAATTTAAGCTAGGGGTGTGTCAGCCTTATGACTCCCAAGGGCTCCTGCTGTGCCGTGCAGAGGCCGGCACCAAGGCTGCTGAAGTTCACAGGAGCGTTTCCAGCAGCTGGTGAGCGGCGTGCATCGCCAGGCCAACAGGCAAGAGATGTGGTGCTTGTTGCACACAGCACAGTAATTGTGTCTCGGCCCAAACGAACTGCAGGATGGCTCCGGGATATAGTTATTATTACGGTTAACAGGAAGCCAGCACCAGCCACGGCTCTGCAATGTGCTATTCCCTTGTTGCCTGATTGGATGCCATAACTCTCTCGCTCCTAACAGCAATTGCTTTCCGCGGCCTCCATCCATTTTCCCTGCAAGAAATACAGCTGCCTTGGATTTTGACTCCTTCCTCATTGCACTGCTCTAGCTCACATTTCTCTCCCCCGTCCCACAGGCACCCACAGCTTCCAAGGCGCGAAGCCCAGGCCAAAAAACAAAGGCAGTAAATTTTCAGCAGGCAAACGTGCATCTGGGTGCTGTCACTCAACACAGGGGACGCCACACCACCACGCGTATATGCCACTGGTCAAAACCCATTTACGAGTCAGTAATTGCTTATAGCCAAAGAACAAGCCCAGGACAATTTTTCCAACACAATTTCCTCGCTCTGGCATTTACGACAACACTTCTGTAAGGCTGCCTGCTCTGCCCTTCTGGCCCAGCACCCGGCTCAGCACAAACACCTCCTTACTGAAGAAGGGAGCATGGCCCCAGGCATCTCAGTGACTTTCCGGAGGACACAGGATGGGGCAGTGCTGGAAACCCAGCCCTCATCTCCCCCCAACGCCAAGCCTGACTTGCTACTGTTGAATGCTCTCTTTACAGCACAGCATTTCCCTTAACGAAAAGACGGGTAGAGATTTCAGAAATCAACACGAAGCGCATTTCATGCTTCGGCTGAGATTCTCCTCCAAGGTACGTACTGACCCCGGCTTCACCTTAAACAACATATACATTTCCATAAATGCTGCTATTCATCCCAGTGGTGCACAGAGCTGCTCGAAGGGGCTGGTTTGGCTCTGTTAAGGAGCGAGCCGGGGAGGTGGAGAGGTGCTTCAGCTGGCTACAGGCCCTGTACTTCTAGGGGCACCTCCCTGGGTTTGGGTATTTGCTCCCAGGGCTCCTGACCATGGCCAGAGGTCAGGTTAGTCCTTCTGTGCCCAGACCCAGCTCCCACCCTGTCTCAAGCATGGGTAGCAGCAAACCCAGGACAGTAACACCCCATCCTGCCCCCAGGGCAGCAGCCTGCTCCCTGTGTGTGTGCTCACCCACCCGTTGCAGCAGGCAGAGGCTCGGTGGGGCACAGGGAGGATGCTCCAGCAGGCCAGGCAGCACACTCTGCCCGGCTGTGACGTGTTAGTGTAACACTTAATTAATTAATAAGGGCTCTGGGAGCACAGGGTGATGGCTTTAAGGCCGTGGGGCTGATACTTTGACCACTAGCACCTGCAGCACAAGCTGCAGTGCTGCGGCAGGGAGGACAGGTGCTCCTCTTTAGGTGGAAATGATACCAATGGGCACGACTAACGCAGGAGCAGGAATTGCGCTGGGCACCTCGACTTCGGGATCCGTCATTATCTGCCCGTTCTAGGCACAAATAGGAACAGAGATACCGTTTTGACAGCAGCGATGTGGTTGCTCAGAAAATGGGCCAGTGAAAATTGATTTCTGGGCTCGCTGCTAGGGAAAGAACAAAGAATAATTTCAGGTTGTCCAGAAATGCAGATTTTCCAGTTTTCTTGCTGACACCTACCATGGAAAGAATAAATATTGAGCATTGTCAAAAACCTTGCTTTGGCACAAAAATTCAATGCCATTTACTTCATGTTCAGGGCTTGTGTTTTGCTTTATGCTTTAAAAAAAAAAATGTATTTCACAATGGAACGTTATTTCAAAATGAAAAAGTGAAATGTTTTGTTTAGAAACTGTGGAAATAAAACATCCAGATTGAAAAAAAGGCTCCCCTCCATTCCTTAACCCAGAACCATTCACTGAACTGAACATGCATTTGCAAATGGATTCAGGTGCCCTGAAAATTGAGGTGCCTTCCCCTCCAGCTGATAGCAAGGGGAGAAATAGCCTATTCCTGAATTGGAGTGCATTTGTCCTTGAAGCTCTTTAACTCACCTGGAACCAGCAGCGTTCATCTTTGCTGCAGCCAGCTGTGGGAATGACCAAGCTGTGAAACCACGGGGAGGTGAGGGTGGTGGGCGATGGAGGGGCATCACCCCGCTGCTGCTGCTTGCCACAGGCAGGTGCAGCCCCTGCTTCTGCTCAGGTACCCTCAAACCTATCCCAGGATGTTAAAAAAATTGGGATTGCTGGAGACCTCTTGCATATTCCAAATATAATATGCCTTTTTTTGTGAGGAGAGGCATGCAGCCTGGCTGCGGTCCCTGTGCCCTGATATCCCTCCCTTCCCAGAGGGCGACAGGGTGACAGCTCTCTGTATGGCTGTGGTCTTTACCACTTACCCAACATTTCTGCTGTTTATCCTACTTTTGCTCTTCCAATTAAGCTCCTTATTAAAGCAATTAATTCTCCAAACACAAAACTGCAGCAAGTGAAAATTGCTACCAACCAAAGGCTGTTTGGTGGAGTGTGGTAACGGATCCCTGAGCGCTGCATCTTAATCCTGGTCCCCGTGGGTAAGCATCCTTGCAGGGAAGCCGACCCCTGCTGATGGAGTGGGGCTTAGCAGAGGATGAGGGCAAAGCACAGAGGCCCTCCACTTCCCTGGGGAGCACACTACAGGAGCCTTGAAGCCAGCAAGCCAAAGGCAGCACGTGTGAGGCACTAAAACCATGTGCTGAGATCTGTCCCACCTGTGGCCGGTCAGATCAGCTTGTCACAGGCCGTTGTCACAACCCTGCAGAGGCACGCAGTCGTGGTGAGACTCACACACACACAAAAATAAATGCAATAACAGTATAAAATACCATTGCAGTGACCCAGAAATCAAGGAACTGCTACTTTGGGAGGCAAGACAATAGCCAGGCACTCTTATTTCATCAGCCTCCAATGTCCCACGGCTCTAACTGACCTCAACAGAAAGCACAGATGTGCTGCACTTCCAGGGAAAAGAAAAATCACGCCTCAGAGTTATCTCGGATATTCCCAAGCGAGTTAATAGCCAGAGAAATTTGGTTGTTCGCATCTAGCCACAGGAGGTTTCTGTCTGTGAAGATGTGTCTATTGGATTGCTGGCTGATACCAAACGCACCTTCTTGGACGTGCATTTTTGGGTCAATGCACACCGATGTGCTCCAGGTCCCCTTTTATCCTGCACAAGCTCGAGAACCATTTCTGATGGTTCTCATGGAAAAGTGATCTTCACCCCTGTACCCTCCTGGGCAAACAGGCCCTGGCAGATGTCCCAGGTGGCTTGCTGCTGCCCAGTGAGCAGAAGGCCAGGAGCAGTGGGACTGTGCTCTGGTGCCAAGGGGGCTGGAAGCGCTTTGGGGCTGCACTGGTGCCTTGCCGGCTGTGCGGATGCTGCAGCTGTACCTCTTGGCTCCTGCTCCTCTCCCAATATCTCTTCCCATCGCCTGCGCCTCTCCCTCCTTGTTACGGAGGGGTTTTTTGCAAGCCTTCCAGCTTTGAGCAATGCCAGCTGCATGTTGAGGCTGATTTTCTTCATTTAGATGCTGTTTTTCTCTCTCAATTAGTGGTCTCTGGAAGCTCTCAGGCCAATTGTTCAAGAGCAGGCTGGTGAGGGGACAGGCGTGCTAAGTGTGTCAAGGGGAGCGTGTTTGTACCCCCTAGGAAGATACGCACCAGTGAAGGGACGCAGGGGAAATCCCTAGGGACTGGGCTGAAGTCAGAGGCATGCGTGCACTTCCCGGCAGATAACCCACGCATGGAGGTTACGTGTGTGGAGGCAGGACAAATTCCCCCCCAGTTCCAAGGAATTCAGAGGGTGAAATTGGTTGTGTGTGCTGCAGGGAGCACCAAGAGGAATGAGCCGTGTTTCCAGACGTGGATTATGTCTTGTTTACAGATCCAGCCCTGGGAAGCAAGCGGCCTCCTCCTCGAAGAGCTGCTCTTCCCTCACATCTTCATTCATTAAGCAAGCTGTCGACAGAAGCCTGTAGTGCAAAGCCCAAACACAGCAGTGGGCTTGGGAGACCGCTTTATTTTTAGAAAGAAAAACCTCAAAACTACCATATTTCTCCGGAGAACCAGCTCCAGAACCGTTGCTAGTAAGAGCTGCCCTGAACCAGGCACCGTTTTTAATGACAGTGTTTAGCGGCGGCCCCAAGAGCCCGGCGCTCTTGCAGTTTTAGCAGGGGAGGGGAGTGATTTTGGGGGAAGGAGCCCAGGCCCCACGAAGGACGGTGGGACTGGCAGCCTAACGGTGCTTCTCTTGCTGTGTACGGCTTGGAGCAAGGTGCAGATGCTTTTGCTTACAGGCCCCACCATCACCCCTCCGGCTTTGCGTACCGCGCCGAGCTCTCAGGTTCCTAAGTGGGTTGCAGCGCGCAGTCCTTTTTGCTCAGTAACTCTCTCATTACAGGCCAATTTCCACTTATAAATTCATTTATAAGCCAGTCCATTTGCGCAGCCCGTCTCGCTGGAGGCACAGCTCTGCCTTGCTCTATCTCCATCTCCATCCTAAGCCGCAGCCCCTGCGCAAGGCTAGCCTGGGGATGCACAATGAGGGGCTCAGCAGCCCCCTGCAGAGCCCCCCGCACCCAGGCAGGGGCTCAACGCTGGCCTGGGGGGTTTGAGGTCACCTCCTTGCACCCCAGTGCTCCCTGGGTGCCCTCCCACCGCCTCAGGGCACAGCCCCAAAGGGCGTGGGGCAGAGAGGCAGGCAGCGGGGCAGGAGTGACCAGCACCTTTGGGGAAGGAAAATTTGGAGAATGAGTGCGGGGCCAGCCCGGCTTTATTCCCGGGAAGCCCCAGCAGATGGTGCCAGACAGCCAGGAACCCTCCGGGAGCCCGCAGCCGGCTCGAGCATCTCTGCTCTGCCCGCCCGGCCGGCGGGGGGACACACACGGGAGATTTTGGGGGTCCCCACCCCGCCTTTCCCAGCGGGAGCTCGGCCCCCAGCGCTTTGCGTTCAGCCTGGCCGACACCGCCCTGCTGCCAGCGCCCAACTTTCCGGCCTGAAGTTTGGGCCCCCAGCGAGCCCAGCGCTGGGAGGGAGGTTCCCCCCATCCTTTTCCTCCTGGCTGACTTTGCTCGGGGCGATTTATCTCGCTCCTTAGTGTAACATTTTCCTTTGCACCATTTCATCCTATTATTCCAGAATAAATCAGGACCATTTCCATGTCGAATGCCAGCAGAGGAGCACCGCAGGAGGGGAAGTTTTGATGCTGACGGCAGCTCAGCCAGCGAGAAGACCTTCCCCTGAGCCCGCTGGCAAGGCCAACAATCCCCACGTACCAACTGTGGGGTCCCCATGCTCGTCACACACACACACGGGTCCCCCACAGCAGGGGGGCTCTGCCAAACCTCCCCGAGCAGGAGGCAGATGCTGGCTGCTCATGGGATTTTCAAGCAGTGCACTGATTAAAGAGAACCAATGCATGACCCATGGTGACACAGGCACGAGGCACTTCCCCACAGTGCCAAAGGATTTGAACCATTTGTAGTCTGGGGAGCCTGGAGGGCTTCCCAGTGGAGGACACATGCCCTTGTGCAGGCGGGAATGGTGAGCAGACAGCAGGCTTCCCACACCCCTGACCCCAAAGAGCAGGATGGGCATCCCCAGGGAGCCATGCCGCCAGGGCTGGAAATTGCTGACCCCAAAAGAGACATAAGGGCTCTGGTAATGATGCAGTCACGGATAAACAAAAGTCAGCTTTTAGACTACAAGCCCAGAGAGCCCGCCCATTTCTCACATACAGCCCAGCAGCTGAGATTACTCACGGGTTATTTTAAACCATGACTCCACTCTTCGAGGCATGCCACTGCAACCCAGTGCCGGGGCGAGCAGAGCCCCTCTGCAAGGCAGGGCTGGGACTCACCAGCAGAGCATGCGATGGGACCAGGGACCAGTCTGCAGCCACGGCCATGGCAGGGAGTCATGGGGCTGACACTTCCCACGGTCCTGTCCCCTTATCCTCCACACTGCCCATTGTTACGGAGCCAAGGGTGTCAGAGGGCACATCCCATCCCTTCTAGGGTCCCACCAACTTCTCTCACCCCCATGCGCAGTGTGGGCCAGGTGCCCAGGACCTGCTGTCTGAAGAAGTGCTTCCTCCAACAGCTTTTTTCAGCCAGATGCAGGAGTCAAGGCACAGCGGCTGCACGGCAGGGCTGGGTGAACAACTCTGTGTTCACGGCCTCTGTGGTTGAGCAAACTTTGTTTGTGTTCCCTACCAGGCTCCTCCTCTCCAAGGCTTCTCACAT